GCACTACACTGGGAATATTCTCACCAAACCAAACTTTATCAAGAAAGACAATCTTTATTACGCGAGTAGAACTTGTTTGAAAATCTGATCTTCCTCTTTATATTTATATACATTTAAATATATTATATATATTATATTTAATATACTTACCATTATACTTACACTTACAATTTCCTATAATTTACCTATCACTTTTTCCCCGTAACAATATAATTAATTGAATCACTATTAAAACATATAAATAATTGGAGCATAATGCAATTATTTTTGAAAATTTTAAAAATTGAGTCAACAACAAATAATTTATGCCACATGTACAGTATATTATTGGTTTATTGCAGAGTATATAGAGCCCAATTAACTTTTCATAAAGGGGTAAATGCCTTTAAAAAACAAAAATCTATTTAGATAATCTTTTTTTACTAAACAAAACCTATATAAGCAATCTTTAAATCTAAAAAAAAATTTTATCCATTTTTATATACCATCACTTAACATATCACTAAATATTAATATGTTAATTAAATAATTACTTCAAATAAAATAATATTTATTTTTTCAAATTTTTATTTTTTGCTTAATTTTTGTAATTTCTACTAAATTATATATACAGTATGTATATCAATATTCTTTTTTAATTTTTATACAAAAAAATTTTTATATAAAAACTAAAATCAGTTTTATCAAAAAATTATTATTCTTATATAAAATATCAATCATATCTCATATTATTAAAACATATACAAACAATATAACTATTTATTAAAATTACAAAATATATAATTTAAATCTTGTGTAAGTTTTTGATAACATCAATAACAACACACAAAACTAGAATTCCATTATATAATTTTCTTATATCAACTCAATATAAATACTACTATTAATGATAGAGAAGCATACATGAAAAATTCTATAATTAGTTATTAAAACAAATATCATATTTTTTTCTTTTAACCTTTATTTTTACAGATTTTTTTTTCTTTTAATTTTTTTTTACAAAATAATAATTATTTATGATGTTTTTTTCTTTTTATCTTTTATTTTAGTAGATAGTTTTTTTTTTGCTCAAGATTTTTATACTATAATATATAATAAATTAATATATATGGTTATGCATTTAATATATTAGTATTAATTATATAATGTTTATAATATTTATTTTATTAACAAAGATAATAAAACTTATTTTATTTTAATATTAAAAAAATAAAAAATAAAAACCTGTGAATCAATAGTATAGTAGATAGTATTCTTAGATTTTCAAATATATATTTCTAATTTAATATCTACAGAAAACAAATATATAAATTTTATTTATACTGTATATAGATCTATCAATTATCGGGATTCTGATCAAACAAAGTTAGACTGTATAAAAATAGAATATTTGATCTTTTTGATAATTATGAGTTGAAATCTGATCAAAGTAGAAAAGATTATAGAAGATAAGATTTTTGGTTTGAATTCTATAAAAGCCATAATTTCAATTAATATAACAAATTTTATAATACAAAGAACATTCTAGCTTAATATTATTTCAATTTATTATTTGAATATTTTAATTAATCCTAAAAGATATATATTTCAAACAATAATCATCAGAATTTGGATTATATTAAATAGTTATAAGCTAGTAGTAGTATCTCTATACCCTAAAAACCTTCTATTATAATTGAGCAGGTGCTAGGTCCATACCATAAGCTCATTCATAACCCGGCAATTGTTTCTTCCTCATTATTATGACAATTTTATCGGTTTGGACTCCACTATCTGTAATGTATATACGTGGTAATGATTGAGAATGCATTACATTCTGGTTAGCTTCGAGGATGCAATATTTTTTCCTGAGTCATAGTTCTGCGTTTCCTATTTAACGAGTGCTTATAAACCTCTAATGTGTGCCTTAAATAGGATTAAATTCTAATGGGACAGGTCTTTGGGATGGTGCAAGAGTCTCTGGCAAGCCCTCTTGCCAAGAATTTCGGGAAGTCTATCGATAATATGTTCATGGTCGGAATTGAACATTTTATTAGATATAATTTTGCGCAAAAAAAGTTTGCACGCAAGAAATTCACTCATAGCATTGAAAGCTTTATTTTAATATTAACTTTACGTGTCAATGTCACAACACATGGGAGATCATTAGAAATACAGTATCAAGAAATTTCACGCGACATCCTGACCATTGGTCAGCAATTTTTGTCAGTAAGTAGGTTATTTCGGCTGATTATCTTCAATGTTTTCTAAGAAAAAAATCATTTGACCCATGAAAAAATGTGGGAAAACTTTATTAATATTTTCATATGTGTAGCAATCATACAAAAAATGCTAAACTGTATGATGAATTTAGACATCATGTGAACACTAAATTTGATGAGACATCAATGGCCTAAGATTGTGTTATTCTTCCTGACATACTATGCATCTGATATCTCCCGTGCTTAATTCGAAATAAATGTTGCCCTCTCCTTGACTATATCAAGAGCTAATACCGGTCTTGCATAACTAATAATCAGTATTACGATTTACATTTTCGTGGTTGACGAGTTATATTTTCCGATGCTGACCTCACCTTATAAGATTTAATAATCTCGATTACATGAAGTATAATTGTTATAGTGTAACTAGAAGTCAAGAAAAAAATTTTATATACTAGTAACTACTAAATACACAATAACATCTCTCTTTTTTATTAATCACATCTTCGGAGTAGTAGGAGTTGTATCTCTACTGAATTCATATATTATTTCTTTCACTTTTCGACCACTCTCAAGCGCCACATGCATTTTGGATCTAATTTTGGAGTACGCTTCTTCGACTTTTACTAGGTCGATGAGTATAGCTTCATCTGTTGATTCCTCGCTAGAGGAAGTTTTGTAGCCATCATAGACCAACTCAATAGTTGTTGGAGTTTTGCTACTTGAATTCATCTAAATTATGAGACGGAAAGTTAAACATGGCAATAAGTTATTTGTAATTAATAAGCCTTGAAGACTTAATCCAAACCTTCTTGTTTGAATTCAATATATACGGGGATGAATGACGTTATCCTATAAACAAATTTACAAAAATGAAAACAATATAAAACAAATTTTCAACATTCGTAACATGTATCATAAGCAATTAATGCAATGTACTACAAAGGTTAATTCTCGGAGAATCACTAGCAGTATCATGCTCTGTAATGATATTTGATTTCACACGGAAGACATGTTGTTCCTGTATCCGAAATTTTTATGCTGAATAGTCACATTAAAACACATATACTCGGTTTTTATACTCGCTATACTCACCTCTCTCTCACTGTAATTTGCTTTCATCATCCGAGTTGTTTCATGCTCTTCATTTGTTTGAACTGAGTTCCAATACCGTTCCACGTTTAAGCTTCTCGTCATTATATCAAAATCATGAAGCCACTGTTGCGCTTTCGATGATAATTTATCGTTTTCCGATGAGACACTTTGTAATGCTTGTATCAAATACTCTTCTGCTAAACCACGCTGGAAATACAGATATTCAAAAATTTTAAAGAATTTGGACATTCCAAAATTATTCTTTCAGGACATTTTCAAAGCCTCAATGTGTTCACCCTTACAACATAGAGTGGTTATTGTTTTGCATTTCAAAAAAATATATATACAAAGTAAATACAGTAATTAGAAAGACTAAATATTTATATTAAAATTTAGTTGAAAAAAAAATCTTAAGTATATTATCAGCATTCAATTACAATTTTTTTTAAAAAAGAATTAGAATAATTTCTATGTATCATATTAGCATAACTGGTCAACATACAACTGATCAATTTATCTTTCAAGAAAGAAATTCAATATTATTACAAAAAATAAAAGAAATCTTTAACCTTTATATTTTGAAATCCAATAAAAACACAACAAATGACTTCAAAAAAATCAATTGTAATTGCAAAATCACTTATCATTAAAAAACAATTAATTGAATTTTCTTATAGGTTCACAAAAGTCTAAAACAAAATAGAAAAGCTTATAAAAAGTTTATAGTTATTAGTCCCAAGATGCAATTCTATTTGTTATATACTTGTTTACTAAAAATATAATAGAGATTAAAAAAAATGACAAGCAGGAATTGATTTGATTGGTTATATGCCAATAGATTAAATTCCAAAAAGAATCTTTAAAACCATTTTATATTAAGCAAAAAAATTAAATAATATAATCATAAGAATCTTTCGAAATATTAAAAATTTATATAAGGAGTTTTACAAAAAAATAGTAAATTATTTGATTCAAAACTATAATGTTATAATTATATCCAAATTTAATATAAAAATATGGTGAAACAAAATTGACAAAAAATCAATTCAAAAATAATTTAAAGCATACTTATATATCTAAGAGTACCATCTCAAAATCAAATTAGTACTGAATTTATTATTATTGGTATTATTTTAATACATTTTGATACCATTTTTGCATCAGTTCAAAACCTACCTGATCATACTATGCATTTAAACAGTAACTAAAACACAAACCTAAGGAAACAAGTGTAATAGTAATTATCCAGGATAAGGTGTACACTAAGACCTGTAGCTATTGTGAGAATATAGAAAACATTGACAGAAGAAGAATTTATAAATGTGAAAATTATCATATAGTTATAGTTAGAAATGTAAACAGAGCCCACGGGATCTTTCTATGGTCATTACTTGATGGAGCCATCCACATGTGAATGTAGGAATTGATGATTTTTACTTAGAAATGACTAGTAATGATTATCAATGATGTGTTATAATCTATTCGAGAAAGAATAGCATTTCCCTGATATCGCACTGCACATTTCAGGTGATCAATTTCATATGATGAAAAACTATATAATATTTCAATCTATAAGAGTTTGATAATGACGATTACCGGAAAAATAATAGGACCCATTATTGATGAATCTTTCATATCTTTCGTCACGATAATAATAACCTCTATTATATTTATTATTCATTATATCCATTATCATCCAATTCATATAGCCTCTCTTTTTCAGAATCATTGTCGTGGCTACAATCACTATCATTACTTCATTAGTTCCTTTCTCCATTGACGAAGGCATGAGATCAGTGTTGTCCATTGGTAATTGACACATTCTTTTTATTATATAATTTACTATGCGACGTGATAAATACATAATACAGTAAAAAGAATGTGGCAATTATCAATGGAGAGCCGTTTTGAAAACACTGATCATAATATAAATCATCATAGTCACTAGCTTTGGGCGAATTGTCCTTTGAAATCACCTAAAGGATTGGAGATATGAGTTACAAGGATAGGTGCTGTTGAGATGCATACTTCAGAAGATTCTGTCACGTGCGCATTACTTTTTGTAACGCTGATCACCTTTTGGCATTCAGTCCGTATTAGTGAATTTGAACATGAAATAACATACGTGCTATAGGTAATTCGTTTAATCTTATCTATCTCTATCCTATAAATAGCGTGTAATTTTTTTTTGCTTTGAAGATTTTCTGACATAAATGTGCATCAGTAATGTCGGGAAGAAGCAATCTAATTTCGTTATACACCAATGTTCTCGCTGATTGATCATTGATATTTTTTATAGCTTTACAGTCTTCAACCAGATCCTCATATGCTTTATAGAAACAATACCAGCATAGATTCTCCTTTTGCCCGACCTTTATTGCTACATTAAATAAATTTGCTATACTTTATGTTATAATTTTGTTAGATCCCATTAAAATCATCTCAAAGGGGAATTCGCGAATTTGAATATCAAATGAGCTATGTTTTTCGATATTATCATCTTTGATAAGAGCGGGTAGCTCATGTCTCAAACCTTGCTCCACTTTCCGATTGTATAGAATTTTTGTTCTTTCATTACTATTGTCAGAAACAACATTCGCTGAGTGCTCTACACTCGTTTCATTCTGTTTTTCTTTCTCTATCCTGAGTGAATTGTGAACGTTTGATGCTTCGAACGTTGAGCTTTCCTCTTCAGTGCCAAGCTTCTTTTTCCTATTCCTGTTTCTCATCAGATTACTATTTTCTTGTTTTCCGAATCCAGGAAAAAATTCATCTCCTTTCTTCCAATGGTTTTGGATATCTTTGACAAAGCTAAGGTAAATTAGCAGGTGATACCTTTGGTATTGGTTCTTCAGGAATAGAATCATTCATTTCCTTATCTGATACCTTTGGTACCCTTCCATTGACTTGGTGTCGGCGTTATTTTGTTGGTCCACTACAGAGTTGAGCAAATCAACAGACGATACTTTGACCATCCACAACCAAGGAATCCTGTCCTACTATCGCAAGTCTAGTTTCAAGTTCTGTCTTCTTTTGTTCTAGTTCCTTAACCCTGGCTTCACGCATCGTATTCTCCTCAATAATCTGCTTCAACTTTGCATTCTCAGCCTCGACTTCAGATATAGGAATCTTATCGTCCTTCTTTCTAAGCTCGGCAATCTCAGCTAAGAGTTTAGCATTTAGATCTCTTAATAAATCAATGGTGTGAATATTTTCCATTATTTTTATAAAATATGGACATATTCAATTTCAAATTAAAAATCATGTGCCAAGAAAGAATTTTTATTAATACGTGCAAACATAAATACACATAGCCCGTGATACATAAAGTTCTATTCTAAAACCTATTTATCTGACTTGGTCCCTGTTGCTCGATGACCTATGCTTTTTTATTACCCTTTCTTCCCTTCGAGAATCAGAATCCGGCTTCTGTACCTCCTCCAACAACCATGCAATATGCCCGAGGACTCTTTCAACGTTTTCACCCATATTCTCACTATCATATACAACAGTTACCGGCTTCGATAGTTTGAACGCTAGCTTGTCCTGACCATTGAGTGAACACTCCATAAAATACCATTCTTTTGCGTCAGTGATGATTCCAAATGTCTTACCCACAAACACACTATCTTCTTCCATCTCGCTCGCCTTACATTTACGGTTTGATAAAGCGGATTGGAGTCGTAAGGCATTCTGTGCAATACCCTTAAAAATATTCTCGTCCTTTACTTCTGTCACGCCAACCGTTTTTGTGGTTCGGAGTAAATCAATTGCGAAATCAACTGGTCCATGTCCACTGGGTCCTGTGATTTTTTTTTTGGTCGAAGCTCAAACTTCCCCTCATACAAATTCAGCCCAGCAACAAGGTAGGAGCACACGTATTGCGATTTCGATGCTCCGTTTCCATTTATCGGAATGGACTTGAGACGATCTTCAATTCAGCTATAAGATGTTTAAGTATTGCCCGGGAAGAATCTTCTTCCAGGTCTTTGTACTCGCAAGTAAACGGCGGGAATACTGACAATTATGGGTCATATGATTCACCGAGGTCATAAATCTGATACACTTTTGGGAATGATCAATCCGAGAAAGCTTTTGAGAGTGTTTCTATGAACACAGTAAACTTGAGATTGTTCTTTGATACGAATATGCGGAGCATATCACGAAGATTTTGATCATTATAAGGGAAGCATTTCTTTCCATCATTCATTAAGTTGAGTACCGCCCCATCATTTTCAAGTGCGGGTGGTTGATACATCTTACGTATATAATCTTTGAGGCCAACGAGAGACACTTGTTCGATATTTGCGGTCCATTTATTTGCCTTCCGTTTTGGGTGGATGACGACTTCGAACTCTACAATGCAATAACGGTTAGAAAAATTCTCACAAAGTCTCTTTTCCCACTATTTTATACATACCATGTGTGGACTTGTTGAATAATGTCTGTAACGAGGTAAGTTGTTCCCTTAATTCCAATACTTCGCTCGAAGTGGCGGTGGTCTCTGGCGGAGAGACTAAGATATGAATATGTTCTTCGGGAGGTGAGTCTGGAAAATATTTAGAAATCTTCCTTATTGCCAACAGCTCGTCACTGTCCTCGAGTGGGGGGTTGCTTAAGGGATCGACATGATCGTCAGAGATTGGCACTTTCCATAATTTAATGTCTTTAGCATCAACATTAGCGAAAGTTTGCGAGTTTATTATTTTTATAGCCTCCTTGAGCTTGCTAATAGACTTGTCCTTTTCAATATCAACTTCGAAAACGTTAGTGGTTGTATTTCCTTTAATGAGGCAAAGCAAAGTGATAGACATGTTTTTGGCTTTTATAGTATTTTCTGGTGCAAACATGCAAACTAGTGTTACTGCCTTGGGAGAGCAAAATGAGAATTGTGTCAATTTAGACTTGCAGTGAACAGGGTGTTCCTATAAATTAAAAAAAAATAGGAACAGAATAAAGAAGAATAAAAGAAAATTTTTTAACAAAATAGACATGATTAAAAAAAAGTTTTTTTATTAAAGACTTAAAAAGTAATTAATATAATAAAATTTTTTATATAATTTTATATTTATTTTTAAATAAGATTTTATTTAATAATTATTTAAATATAATAAAAACAATTTTTAATTAATTCTTTATATAAATAAATAAATTATATACAAGTAATTAAAATAGAAACAACTTATAATTGATTAAATTATTATTAAAAAGATTGTGGTTTTTTAATTTTGAAAAAAATTATTTAAAATTATAATATAAATATATTAAATTCTTATATTATTTTATATATATTTTTAATTTTCTTTAA